AGAGCAAACAGTATCACTGCTTGGAGATCAGTTGCACAACCACTACCAGCCCTGCCACCACCACCACCACTACCAGCCCGGCCACCACCACTACACCGGCGACCACCACTACCACCACACCAGTAACCACCACCACCACACCGGTGACCACCACCACACCGGTGACCACCACACCGGTGACCACCACCACACCGGTGACCACCACCACACCGGTGACCACCACCACACCGGTGACCACCACCACCACTACTCCAGGAACCACTACCACTACACCAGCGACCACCACCACCACTACACAAATGACTACCACTACCACAACACCTGCCGTCATGTGACTGCCGTCACCGTCTGTGCAGTCATTGTCATTCCTTGATTGAAATATTTCTTTTGTCATTAGTTATTCTCTTCTATTCAGCTCCACTTAAAAACACAAGAAGAGCTTTATTATTTCAAAAAACGGATTTTCCTTAGAGAGAGAGAGTTAAAAGAATGAGTTGCCTTGGTTTGTGTTTTAAAAAAAATAATTCACTGCTATTTATTTCCTACTACTACTTAATACACTTTATTCTTTATTGCAGTTTTAATTAATTTAGGCTTTTTTCCCCCCCTTTTTCTTTTTCTTGAAATCATCTATTATGCCTTTATCTGGTCTCTTACTCCCCCCTCCCTCCTCTCTCTCAATAAACTATATATTCAGACATATCACTCGTGCAAATCTTAATGATTCTCAAAATAAAACTTGCACCTAATGCTAGCTACATTCTGCTAATCAAAGGGATTCTGTGATGCATAACATTTGGCTAGTTACATCCGGGGAATGCGCTTCTGCCTTTCGAGATACGAGGCCAGAAGCAGTGACCAATCGTTCGACCAAGCCGTTTAGCCAAATGTAATTTGTTCAGCTCCTCCTTGTCCGTGGGCGCCCATTTGGCGAGAGAGAAGCGAACAGGCCAGGATATCATGGCTCACCCAGGGGTGATTGTGGTTGCAGGCTAGTACGTACATACATTACATACAATATAGACCGATTCAGCTTAAGAAAAATTATGGGGTGATGAGGATCATCGCATCTCGGGCCTCTCTTTCCTTTAATTTTTTATGAAGATTGATTTTTCAACAGGGGAGCCAGTGATAATGGGCACGCAACGCGGTAGATTGGGATGGAGGGGTGGGAAAGATGGCCTTCCTGTGCTACGTCTGTGGAATTATGTGAAAAGTATATTTATTATTTGCTACAACAAGCCGCCGTACTAAGTGTTTAACTTTTTCAAAATGAACGATTTATTGAGATAGCGGGTATGAAAGTGGAAGAAAATAATATGACCAGTATAGCACATGCACTTATTACCACATATCTTGATCTACACTATGACATTGATAAAGAAATTAGACGAGCTCGTAGCTCCCAATCCCGCGAAGGAAGAAAACAAGAGGAAAAAACTTGGAGGAATACGAAATACATGGGACGAGAAAGCAAATATAATCTAATCAACCCTCCTCTCCTCCCGCAGGCCCCAAACCTCCTCCATAGTAGATTTCCCCTTCGTCTCCGGGAGCCACGATGCCAAAAACGAACCCAACACCACAGCCAAAGCCGTGAACACCCAATAGATCCTCCCTTTCCCTCCCATCGCCACATTAAGCGGCGGGAAGAACTGCGCTACAACAAAAGTAGCAGTCCAGTTGGCGCCCAGGGCCCAGCTCTGGGCTGCACCAACTGCCTCGGGCCCAACGAGTTCCGACGCAAGGATAAATGGAACGGGTCCAAGCCCGACTGCAAAGCTGGCTACGAATAGGAGCGTCGCGATGGCGGAGAGAATTTGGAAATTGAACGCGATGCCCAGCGCGAGGAGCATGGAGTTGAGGCCCATGCCTGTGATGCTGAGGAGGAGGCATGTTTTGCGGCCTAGTTTATCGGCCAGTGGGGCGCAGAGGAGGGTAACTATGAGATTGAGAGCGGAGATCACGACGGCGAGCAGCGGGGCGGTGGTTGGGAGGATGTCAGATAGGATGGAGACGCTGTACATGACTATACTATTGATGCCGGTGAATTGTTGGGTGACCATGACGGCGATGACTGCGATGATTGCAGGGCGGTATGTTGGGCTTGCGACGACCCCTAGCATGGAGACGGGGGGGCGCTTGGGAGGAAGATTCCCGGCTGGTGGTGTGAGGAGAGATTCTTCCTCTGATGTTCGGGTATCAGTCTCGCCAGGTGGGACTCGCCAGGCTTTTACTTCTGGTTCAATATCATTATTCTTTCCGCGGATGCGCTGAAGGATTCGTCGCGCATGGATAGCACGTTGATGTTCAGCCAGCCAGATGGGGCTCTCAGGAACAAAGAACAATCCAAGCAGTTCCAGAGCACCAATCGCACCAGCAACCGCAAGGATAATACGCCATAGGCTATCTCTGCTTAGGAAGTACCCCAGAGATTGGGAAAGTAATATTCCAACATTGGTCATGACCTGTGTAAAGGCGCCGAAGAACCCTCGTTGGCTCACATGCACCACTTCCGCTATATATATAGGCCCGACAACGATCGCGGCGCCTGCTCCAATGCCTGAGATTAACCGTCCCGCACTCAGCGATTCGATTCCGGTGGCAAGGGTTTCGGCAATGGGGCCTAGAACAAAGAATATCGTAGTCGCGCGGAGAGCGAGGAGCCTGCCGTATTTGGTTGCGAAGGGGCCAGCAATAAGAGCTCCTAGAAGACCGCCTAGGGTATAACTTGACGTAACGATGCCGAATTGAAACTCATTCATCGGGATACATTGGGGTAGCCCCGAAGTTGTTGTTTGCCCTTTTAAAGTAATACTTTTCTTCAAACAGGTGATGACGTCTTTGGGAGCATTGAGCTCAGCCTTTGAAGTGGAAAAGAAAGGGTTGGTTTTCCCGTTAGCAAGCTGTGTTGACTGGAAAACCAACTTATAGAACTCGAGACTGTGGGATAATCCCATGTAAATACGCAGTAGAGAGGCATTTCCTTACTAGATGGTAGCCAAATTGAAGGGGGCCCAAGGTGGTGATGAATATGATGAACAGCAGATATGGCGTCACAGGCGATTCGGATGCCGACGACGTCGTGAGCGTCATCATTGCGGACTTGAGCCTTTGAGGGCAGGCAAGATTCGAGAAATCCTCCGATAATACTGGCAGCATTCGGCTGAATCTGTTACTCGGGGGGTTCTCGACATATAGGATTCACAAGTATCTCAGTATCCGGAAACAGGGAGATAGAGTTGCACCTTGGCAGCCGCACGCAGCAAGCCACACAGCCTAGTTAGGGCTAGGTTAGAGCTCACCATGGCACCGTGTACATTTCAAATTTCAACCACATCTTACATGTAACTACAGTATATAGATCTGATGTAAAGAGTTAACTACTGACTGCATCACTGCTTCAATAATCAGATCAATCAAGGTGGTAGGTGGTGCCAAGAGCTGCACTTTGTTTCTCGTGGTGCCAATATAGGCTTCTCTGGAGTTGAATAGCTGGCTTTCTGAAGATGACAGCAGTGCTTGATATGTTTGGACTCCAGCATTGAAATGAAATATACCCGCAGCAGGCACGTTTAAGACGACTACTCCGTAAGAATTTTGGGAAGCAAGTGAGCTCATTATAAAAGCATCATAGTCTAAGTTCCGGACTACTCCTTGTTACTGGGTAGAGATATTTGTAGTAGAAGCAAGCCGAATATCTATTCAATATGCCCTATCGAGAAATACTTCAATAGAGGCATGCCAGGGCAGAACGAGTTAAACCACCTACTATGCCATGCAGCTAGAGCGCTGCATAATGAAAAATATTTTCTGACTGAACATAGTTATATAAAAATACCACTTTTCGAGAAATTAATGAAGCAGGATCTAGCCCCGACGTTGTTATTATTTGTTCTTTTGCCGCTCGATGAAATGTGCGAAGTATCCCGCAACACTATTCTTCACCTCAAGAAGTTTTGATTTCTCTATTGGACCTCTGTTCTTTAACAGGCTTCAAACCTATCGGACTAAAATATCGACTCCAGCAACCGAGCCGCACGAGAAATCTCATGACTTAAATTTGGTCATTGATGGATAATCACTCAAAAAATTGTACCATCGCTTTTAACAACGATCGGACTCGATTTGGTGGTTGGGCGACGCTGTGCTGCTATTTCACGACCCGATTTCCACGTCCCCGCCTCAAGGAGCTGCGCCATAGTGAGATGGACACCGTTCGTACGAGATAGCACCATGCTGTACAGCCTATCAATCAGCACTAAGGTCATAGCCCGCCATTCGACGATAACATCATCTCCTGCTTCGAACTGTGGCAGTTCGCTCCCAGATGCTTTCAACCCTCGATCAAGCGCTTCTTTCTTAAGAGATAGAACGCCCAAGTCAACAAACAAGCCACCGTTGCGGTATTCAGCCAATGCGGTAAGTGCCTCGGCGTTGGTCCATTGCAGGCCAAGCACGCGCTGGAACGGGACCATTAGCGAGTAAGTGAGCCACTGGGTAAGTTTGTGAAATGGTTGAATGTATTCGGAGCGATTGCCATCATTAGAGCCCCTTTGTTTCTGCAGAACGCCCAATGGCCATGCGTCACCAATAGGATGTCCGTTAACCGTTGTACGGCCTTCGGGCCAGACGGGGATCAGGAGGTTTTGAAGAATGTCCCAAAATGCTAGAATATCAAGCTCTGAAGACTTTCCGGCAGATTTCACCATATAGTCTACATAATGCATTCAACACGGTTTCCTTGCAGCAATTTCGAGTGTGTGGATGGAATGTGCATACCAACAAGATTGCCTGGGCGGCCTTGAATCCCAAACACTTCAGAATGAGAGAGCAGTGATTTTCCTAAGCTTCTGAGCAAGGCTGCGCGGGAATCAACTCCTAGCATCGGATTGCCGCCCGAGACCTGAAACCCTTCCGCTAGCACCTCGGTGGTTAGCTGCTCCAGCCCCTTCCCTGCGAGAAATATCAAAATTAGTACGTCAACATTTTCAACGAGGCCATCAGTGACTTACCGTCAACCCGAGGAGCCTTTCCCGCCTTATCGGCAGCAAAAGCCAGCGAGTTGAACATATGCAAGGACGCAACTGCGAGGCCTTCGCTCCGCTCATACGTCCGGTTCGTCCCCGGCTCGATGTACCGCCACTGGTCACCGGCCCCAGCATCCAGGAGAACAGACACAAAGAATAAGTCGATAAGCCGACGCGTTATTTCATAATCATCACAGTTATCTTTCTTCCAATCTTGCATGATATTCGCGACGCGAGGTATATTGCCAACATCGAAGTGTTGCCAGCGCCCATGCGGGGGAATTTCATGGAATTTATCCGGGCCAAAATCCCGCTGGACGGATATTGTCAGCGTAAGCCGCCCACCAACCCACGCCTTGAGCTGAACGATAGTTTGGTGGGTTTTCCGGACATACCTTGATAATGGAACTCACAAAGTCTGCGACTGCGTCCATTCGATCTTCATGTAGGTCGAAGTGGTTTAACTTCCCGGCTCTTGCGGCATCCTCCACGATTTTTGCACGCTCCCGAATGGCGCGTAGCGATAGAAGATACTTGACTTTTGAATCCATGTCAAACTATTTATTAAGGATTAAATATATGTATAGTGAGTGATCGTTTGGAATAGAACATATCGCCCACCATGTTACCCGCGCGCGCGGGGCTCATTTGGGAATAATCACATGATACCGCCAGTCCTTACTCGAACTCGAATGGTGATCTCATTGCCTCATTTGTATTGTATTTAATAGTTTTCAAAACGATGAGAGTGTTATAGTTATGGCCTGGAACTTATGTTTCTCTCTATCGATGATATCAAAAATCTCATTTTGCAGTACATTAACGTTTCAATTTGAAGGGATTGCAGCATTTCAAACCGATTGCTCACTGTCCCTGCTTCTTCTCCAATGCCGCCTGGTCAACGGGCGGTGCAATGCCATTAGCCTTCTATCAGAGAGAACGGAAAGAGGAGAGAAGACAAGATTTTTTCTGGCGCAGTGGCCTTTTATTATATTATCTGGCGAGAAAAAGCAAATAGCGTTAACCATTGCTCTGCCTGAACCAGCAACTCATTTTCTATCCTACGTTTGATGACCAAGTGTTATAATAATAACCAAGCAGTAGGGGGTTAAGATTGAATATATACTGCCTTCAAGATGCTAATTATATGAGCTCCCGGTTCGCCTCTGCCGTAATATTTTCGGATCTTGTCCCTCTGTTCGTGGATTCGAGTACATTAGCATTATCCTGCCTTAATAATCTGAATGTGATTTCCACTGTGAACTGCCCGGTGGGTATTTGAAAAGATGGCATTGAACCGTTTCGTCTCCACTCAATTAACCAACGGATTGTACGCGTACATCGCATCAAGAATAGAACCAAATGGGTGATCCTAGATGTGTAACAGTTATCAGCACAGATTCGTCGCAGGTGACATCGGATAGATGTTTTACCCCAATCCCAACCCGAAGCTTAGGCCAATTCCAGCCACTATTTGGATCATTCTCGTGTTGCTGTCATCGCAGTCCCATTCACACCATGAGTAGTTTTCTATCAAGCCCGTGATGGTACAGCCAAAGGAGTAGAAAACAACAATGATGTCGATAACTAAGTTAAAAACCAGTGGCATCGCTCTCCCCCGGCGCAGATACAAGCAGACTAAATTGAAGAAGCTGATCAAAGCCGTGCATATGCCCTAATGAGAAGGCGATGGACAGAAGTAAGCATTTCGATGTCACATATTATTTCCTAACATGACTTTTTGAGAGAGCTAATATAGTTACCAGTATCATCATCCAAGCGCAACTTTCTCTGACTGTCCAGTCTATATGAGAGTCACGCCAGAAGGCGTGGATCCCTAGTAAAACGGTAAATGTGAAGGCGAAAGCCAAAACCGAGAGAGCGAGAGAAAGCCATGTTAGAGCCAATGTCATGTGAAAGGCTTCCGCAGTCGAGTTGCGCATCAACGGAATATTGGTTTGTGTGTTTGCATCTGGAGACTCAGCATTGGCATCGACGAGAAGCGGCGTATTTTCCGAGTTATGTTCCATCTTGAATTCGAGTAGTTAGATTATCAAATAGGGTTTGGTTTGGGGACTTGAAGCGCTCTCTCTCTAAAATTTCCCCGATCTAGGTCGGCTGGCTGATAAGTATTAACTGCTGGGAAAATTCTGAATCAGATTCATCCCCTTCGAGGAGCGGATGTTCCATGCTATATCTAGACGAGATAGCGAACTCGGTGAGAACACGTTGAACATCTCGAATTCGACAGATTGGCAACTTCTTATCGTCTCCTCCCCAAAAGGACTACCTTTGAGTGATCTCCCGTGGTGGTTAGGCTATTCTTAGTTAAACCGCAAAACCACCCCCAAGGGAAGTTTGAGCTGAGCGCTAGTTAAAATGACCAAGTAAGCTCGAAATGTCTTAATATAGTATCCCCCAAACTTAGGGAACTAATATGTTTGGTGCTTAGTTTGGAGTTGGCTTACGATGCGTAGAATCAGCAGCGTTAATCTGCTAATGACACTTTTTGAACCTTAAAAAGACTAAGGGCTTTTAATTGTCGCCTCCTGAAACGCTACCGAGTACTACGCTGTATGTATGTCACCGAGATGTGTCCGAAAGCTCCACGAGGGTACGAGCATATGAGGTGTGTCGATAATTGGTCCGCCAAAGCCGCCAGTGAGAATAAATAAAAATATTATTTTTCTGCGAGAATGTCGTTCGGTTCAAGCCAGCTTGGAGAAATCTGAATCCTGCCTATCAACAAGGTAGAAATAAGCCAGCCAAGGGTACCGCAATCCCTTGGTTTCGTAGCCCACATAAAGCCTAAAAAGGATTCCAAAAAAAATGGGAGTAGAACACGTAGCTTGTAGCGTGACGGCGGGCTACATCACCCACCCCGTCCCCGTTTTCAAGAGGAGAAGCTGTACGGAGTATACTAGTTTGCTGTCAAGGGGCTGGATGGATGGATACGCTTTGAGCCCTGGGATGGATGGATGCCCAGACTGGTCACATGACCGGATAGGCAACCGTGGGCCCTTGAGCTGCTCGACGCCAACGCAGCAAACGAACATGGCGATACAAGATCTTCAACAAGACGCATTCGGTTTCCCATCTATCCCATGAACATTAATCATCCCTGATCAACACCCTGCTACTGGGCACCTAGGTATCACCATGCATCTATCCCCGCAGTCGCTGAACCCCGTTGGGGCATGATAAGTACGAGACCCTGCTAAACATTAGCCCCCCGCGGCCGCCCCCCACCCCCCCAAAACAAATCTATCGTGGCGCGGGAGTTTCGGCCAGATCTCAGACCACTGACACGCCCTAGGTCCGGTCCGTTACCAATCCGCAATGAGCCTCAGTAACCCGCCGCACTCCGCCGGCGGAGGTTCGTTGTCTGATGCGGCGTCTGCAAGATCGACCTACGCTTCCAGATCTTCGGCCGGTGCGTTGAATAATAATAACAATGGCAATCCCTCACTGGGCTTGAAGAGGAGTGTGCAAGCAGCTTTTGATGGTAATTGATATTATTCTCTTTTACGCCTTATATGCCCGGCTCCTCACCGAAATCATCCCTCTCAAGTTCACCTGCCTCACCTGTTGCCTCCACTTTGCCCTCGATCCACTTATTCTCTATTTGCTTGGTTGCGCAATTCTCCCCAGTGGAACGCGGTCGATTTCCAGCTGCCGGTTCATGCCCTTTCAAATTTCAGCCTCGAAGTTAAATTTTAGGTTTGGGCCTTTTAAGGAGACACCAGCTTCTTGCTTCTTACAAAGTTCAACTTGGTGCCCTATTATATTTCTGAATATTTCTTTCTTCAGTCTTGCATAACTCCTTATATGGACTTCCGTGTCTCTCGCATTTTATTCTATCCGCCAAATTTTTCCCTGTTATTAACCCAATTTCTGCCTTCCCGAAATGTCAAAGCGCAGTTTTCACGATATAAGCTCCTTGAGAGCCAGCGTATTACGAGGTAACCTTACTTTATTTCTGGTTTCCTCTCCTCTTGACGTTGATGTCGAGGTCATTCTGTTTTTCATTTTTAAACTGTGTCCTTTTGCTCTTAGGGCTTGTTGGCTTACCCTGGCTTCTTTGACCCGACCCACTATTTCCATTTAAGCTCCATGTTGGTTCCGCTCTGTGTCAAAGCTCAATCGGCAAACCGGAGGCATATCGAGTAGCGCTGTTGGTTTGTGTCATTCGAGTTTCCTGTTAAAATTGATACTTACTAGAATATCATGCGCAGATACGCTTGGGGTTGGTTATGCTAGCAAAGTTCACATTCGGGAGAAGTACCACATCGTCGGATTCATCAGCAGTGGCACCTATGGACGAGTTTACAAGGCCATCGGTAGAAATGGTCAGAAGCGGGAGTTTGCCATTAAAAAGTTTGTACACGCAATTCCGTGACTTACGAATGTTTACCGAGGCTGACAACCATAGGTTCAAACCCGACAAGGAAGGGGAAATAATACAGTATACGGGCCTATCTCAGTCAGCGATTCGAGAAATGGCACTATGTTCTGAGTTATCGCATGCGAATGTTGTTCATCTAGAAGAGATAATTCTCGAAGACAAATGTATCTTCATGGTCTTTGAATATACAGAACACGATCTCCTACAGATTATCCACCACCACACACAACCTCAACGACATCCCATACCTGCTCCTATGGTAAAATCGATATTATTCCAACTTCTGAACGGGCTGCTGTATCTCCATAGTAATTGGGTTTTGCACCGAGATCTTAAACCTGCAAATATTCTAGTTACATCGACTGGCGCGGTCCGTATTGGCGATCTCGGTCTTGCGCGTCTATTTTACAAACCTCTCAATTCCCTCTTCTCCGGCGACAAAGTTGTTGTGACAATCTGGTACCGGGCGCCTGAATTATTACTTGGGAGCCGACATTATACGCCTGCTATCGACCTCTGGGCAGTTGGCTGCATATTTGCGGAATTACTCTCACTGCGCCCTATATTTAAAGGAGAAGAAGCCAAGATGGACAGCAAAAAAACGGTACCCTTTCAGCGTAATCAAATGCTCAAGATCATTGAAATTCTGGGAATACCAAGCAAGGAAGCCTGGCCCGGTCTTACCTCAATGCCAGAGTACGCGCAGCTTCAGACATTAGTTTTATCACGTGGCGGCGGCCACCTGAGCAAGCTATCAAACTTGGAGGCGTGGTATCATGCGTGTGTCAAGGCCGCGGGATATCCATCATCTCCATCCGGGTCTCCTGGAAGGGAAGGGTTTGACCTTCTTTCCCGCCTTTTAGAATACGATCCCAAGAAGCGCCTAACCGCCGAAGAGGCGCTGAAACATCCATATTTCTCGATTGGTACCCCCGTGACCGCGAATTGCTTTGAGGGTTTCGCAGGGAAATATCCGAACCGACGAGTTAGCCAGGATGACAATGATATCCGGACAAGCAGTTTGCCGGGTACGAAAAGGAGTGGGCTCCCGGATGATACCTTGACTTCCAGAGCAGCAAAACGACATAAAGAAGGATAAATGCATGGGAACACACAACTCCAATTCGGTTCATATTAGGTGTTATAATTTTATGGTTGGGCGTAGTTGGTGGAACATACCTTGGGCTTACTTTACTGTTATCTTTGATGGATTT